AGTGCTGTTAGAGTTTGTTTTATGTATTTTGGAGCCCTGTCATTGGGTGCGTAGATGTTTATTATGGTTATGTCTTCATGATGTATCATCCCCTTAATCATTATATAGTGTCCTTCTTTGTCTTTTATGGTGGATTTTGTTTTGAAGTCTATTTTATCTGAGATTAGAATTTAAAGCAATTTGTTTTTGATGTGCCTCAGTGTCTTTTTTTTATTAAATTATTTTATGCTTGGGATTTGTTGAGCTTCTGGGATCTTTGGTTTTATAGCTGCCATTGTCAAATTTGAACAACTTTTGGCTGTCATTTCTTCAAATCCTTTTTTTTTTCCTTTCTCTCTTCTCTTTCCTCTAATGTCTCCCAATCACACGTGTGTTTAGTCAGCTGAAGTTGTCCCACAACTCACTGATGTATAATTCCTTTTTTTCCCCCAAAGTTTATTTTTCCAATATGTTATCTTGTGGATAGTTTTTATTGCTATGTCTTCAAATTCACTAATTATTATGCAGTGTCTAATCTGTCAATCTAATCTGAAGTAAATTTTTAAAATTTCATGCATTACAGTGTTCATTTCTAGACATTCAATTTGGGTCTTTTTTATATTTTCCACATCTCTACTTTACATATTCAATCTTTCTTCTATCTTGCTGAACATATGGCATATAATGGTAAAAACTGTTTTAATGACTTTGTCTACTAATGCTACCATCTATTTAACTTTTGAGACAGTTTCTACTCATTATGGGTCATAACTTCCTGCTTCTTTGCATGGCTAGTAAGTTTTAATTGGTTGCCAAGTATTGTGAATTTTATCTTCTTGGGTGATTTCTGCATTCCAATAAATATTCTTAAGGTTTGTTCTGGGACATGGTCAAGCTACTTGGAAGTAATTTGATCCTAGTTTATTAAGAAAATGTTCCGCATCCCACTTTGGTGAGTGGTGTCTGGGGTCTTAAAAGCTTGCAAGTGGCCATCTGAGATACATCAATTGGTCCCAACCACCTGCAGTAAAGGAGCATGAAGAACACCAAAGACATAAGGAAAATATTAGCCGAAGAAACAGAAAGGGCCACATAAACCAGAGACTTCATCAGCCAGAGACCAGAAGAACTAGATGGTGCCTGGCTACCACCAATGACCGCCCTGGAGAGGGAACACAACAGAAAGTCCTTGAAGGAGCAGGAGAAAGGTGGGGTGCAGAACTCAAATTCTAGTAAAAAGACCAGGCTTAATGGTCTGAGACTGGAGGAACCCCAGAAAGCATGGCCCCCAGACTCTCTGTCAGCCTAGAATTAAAACGATTTCTGAGGCCAACTCTTCAGACAAAGATTGGACTGGACTGTGGGACATAAAATGATACTCGTGAAGAGCGTGCTTTCTAACTCAAGTAGATACCTGAAACTAAATGGGCAGCTTCTGTCCAGAGGTGAGATGAGAAGGCAGAAAGGGTTAGGAGCTGGTTAATGGACATGGGAAATCGGAGGTAGAAAGGAGGAGTGTGCTGTCACAGTATAGGGACAGCAGTTAGGGTCACATACAATGTATGTATAAATTTTTGTATGAGACTAACTTGAAATGTAAACTTTCACTTAAACTACAACAATAAACAAACAAAAAGAAAGAAAGTAATCTGATCCTTCTGAGTCTTATTTTTAAGCTTTGTTAGGCATGATAAGAACACCATTTAGTCTAGGACTAACTCTGCTGCACCACTGAGGCAAAACCTTGTGAATACACAACTCAATGCCCTATGATTATGAGATTTTTTTTCTTACTCTGGCTACTGGTAAAATAAACTATTCCTGGCTCTGTGTGAGCTCTGAGGATTGTTTCCTGTAATCTTTTTAGGTGATTCTTACCCTGGCATGGGTAGTTTCCAGATCACATACATTGATCAGTTCTCAGATGAATGCTTCAAGCAGATACTCTGCAGATACCCAGAATTCTCTCTGTGAAACTCTCTCTGGCATTCTTCCCTGCAAACTCTAGCTGCCTTGGTCTCCCTGGACTCCTAATTCCATTTCCTCAATTCAGGAAGACCACTGGGGTCCAAGTTCTGTGGTCTGGAAACTCTCGAAACTTTTCAGGGAGTAAGCTGGGGCTTACTTGTAGTGCTCACATCTCATTTGTTTCCTGTCTCTCCTGAATCAATACTGTTCACTATCTGATGTCCAATGTCTTGAAAACAGTTCTTCCATATATTCTGATTTTTTAGTCATTTTAAGTGACAGGGTGAATCTGGTGGTCCCTGTTCCTCCACTGTGGCTGGAAGTAGAAGTCAGAGTAATTTAATTTTATATTGTTTAAAGAAGTTAAATAATCAAAAAGGCACTGTTGATGGTATTTCAAATTAATTACTTCACAAATATTTATTCACTGTTACTGGAGGTCAGGCACTATGGTAAACAGTTGAGATACAGCATTAAGCAAGACACACACAATAATTATCTATCCTGAGGCTCACAGATATTTATCGATAAATTAAATCTGTCAACAGTACTTTATTACAAACAATGTTATTAACAAGATAAAAGTTAGTAGACTCTAAATTTGTCCTAAAAGAAAAACTTAACAGATAATTCCTCTATTATTTTCCTACATTCTTTATATTCTTCCATGATGTAGAAGTTGTTACTATGAGGTCTGATCCTAAAATGAGTTTCATTAGTCTTTAATCCAGTAGTCCACAAAATGTTTTTGACTGTGCATAGCTATCAGCAAAAATCTGAGCATGTCTCCCAATATTTCTAAACTATACATATATATATTATATATATATTATATATCTATGCTCACATATTCTAAAGACATTTTTAAAGGATGAGAAAAATAAAAATTCAGATACTGTGCTCTTGCACTCCAAGAACTGTCTTGACCACTCTTCTCTGAAGACTACTGTACTAGACTATCAATCAAAACCACTGCTTAAGAGCCAGCTATTTAAAAAACTAATTCTAGAATGGAGGCTGTTAATGTTCTGGCTGAATTTCTTGATGGTGCCATCTGTTGATGGGTTCTCTTTTCTTAGTTACCTTATTTACTACTCACGATTTACTAGTAGTGCAGGTTAGTTTATGATCCAGGTAGTTAAATAATGAATTTTAATGTAGTTGTTCTATCTGACCATATCATTGCGTCTAAGAAATTGTGTCCTTATAATATTGTTTACATTTAAAATAGAAGTTCTAATAACATGCTCTCCTTTTTATGAATGTTACATACGTGTAAAAGGATAAAAGTATTTATTTCAGGGTTGAGTTTGCGTTTTCCATCCACATGCATGCTCGCCTAGATTTAGTTTTGCCCCCCTGAGGGATCATGACACACAATCACGTAAAAATAATGGTCAGGGTAACTGGCATAGTATATGGCCTTGAAATAGTTTCATCTGGATATGTTTGTCTCTGTACATCAGACATTTAATCTTGTCCTTATTACTACCATGTTGTAAATGTATTAACTAGCTCAGTCACTGTCCTCATTATCACCCTACTCTAATCAATTTTATTAACCAGCTCAGTCACAAGTATCTCGAAGGGTTCGGAAGCCTCCCAAAACAAATTATTACACAAAACGTACAAGAAAAGTTACCTTTCTCATCGGGAAGAGATGGAATGCTATCACTTCGTACAGAATCATCTGCTGCAGTCTGAACATGTTCATCAATAGAACTCTCCGTCTTTTCACCATGAAGTTTCTTTTCATTTTCCTTAGAAGATGGGACTGAAGGACTTTCTTGACGGCTGCTACCACTGCTACTCCTGTTCATGGATATTACGAAAACAAATAAACAAAAAAATAAGGATCACAACTTCAAACACAAACTTCCTGGGCCAAGGGAATGTGCCTTATAATCAAGATATGAAATGAAGTAAGATGTAACATAATACAGAAAAAGCAAAACAGACACAAGTCTGACAAGAAACTGTTTTGGAAAAGGTGAGAGAGGAAGGTTGCACTTTTAAATAAACAGTCATGATGAACAACCACTATTCTGAGGCTATCACTCTCTTTTTTCATTTAAAAATCAACCCTGAGAAGCCAGCACAACTTGTGCAAGGCAAGGTCATGGAAGCTCCATAGACACATCAAAACTCCCTGAGGGACCAAATTACTGGGCTGAGGGCCGCAGGGACCATGGTCTCAGGGGAACATCTAGCTCAACTGGTATAACACAGTGTATAAAGAAAATGCTCTACATTCTACTTTGGTGAGTAGCATCTGGGGCGTTAAAAGCTTGTTAGCAGCCATGCAAGGTACTCCACTGGTCTCACCCCATCAGGAACAAGGGAGAATGAAGAAAACTAAAGACACAAGGGAAAGATTAGTCCAAAGGATTAATGGACCACAACTACCACAGCCTTCACCAGACTGAGTCCAGCACAACTAGATGGTGCCCAGCTACCACCATCGACTGCTCTGACAGGGATCAAAATAGAGGGTACTGGACAGAGCCGGAGAAAAATGTAGAACAAAATTCTAACTGATTAAAAAAACCGGACTACTGTACTGACAGAGACTGGAGAAACCTCAAGAGTATCGCCCCCAGAACACCTTCTCGCTCAGTAATGAAGTCACTCCTGAAGTCCACCCTTCAGCCAAAGATTAGACAGGCCCATAAAACAGAACGAGAATTAAGTGGCACACCAGCCAAGGGGCAAGGACTAGAAGGCAGGAGGGGACAGGAAAGCTGATAACAGAGAATCCACGGTTGAGAAGGGAGAGTGCTGACATATCGTGGAATTGGTAATCAGTGTCACAAAACAATATGTGTACAAACTGTTTAATGAGAAGCTAGTTTGTTCCGTAAACCTTCATCTAAAGTACAAAAAAAAAAAAAGAAAAATCAAACCTGAATCTATTGCCCTGAAGTAATCTTTAAACCTTAAACCAAAAATATCCCCTGAAGTCTTCTTAAAATCTTTACTAGCCTGTATTTTAGTAAAGAACGTCTGCCATGAGCATTGTTATGGACTGAATTGTGTCCCCACAAAATTTGTGTGTAGACTTGGCTAGTTCATGATTCCCAGTGTTGTGTGATTGTCCACCATTTTGTCATCTGATGTGATTTTCCTATGTGTTGTAAATTCTACCTCTATAATGTTAATGAGGTAGGATTAGAGGCAGTTATGTTAATGAGGCAGGACTCAATCTACAAGATTAGGCTGTGTTTTAAGTCAATCTCTTGTGAGATATAAAAGAGAGAAGTGAGCAGAGAGACAGGGGGCCTCACACCACCAAAAAACAAGAGCCAAGAGAATAGCATGTCCTTTGGACCCGGGGTCCCTGCACTGAGAAGCTCCTCGACTGGGGAAGACTGATGACAAGCATCTTCTCCTAGAACAACAGAGAGAGAAAGCCTTCCCCTGGAGCTGGCACCCTGAATTTGGGCTTCTAATCTCTTAGACTGTGAGAGAATAAATTTCTCTTTGTTAAAGCTATCCACTTGTGGTATTTCTGTTATAGCAGTACTAGACAAATAAGACAAGCATTGTGCTCTTTTGATCTACATGGGAGTAAACTGTCAACTCAACAGAGTAGACAGGAAGCTTAGGGGGCAATGAGTTTATGTTAATGGAGAGGAACAATTCAGAAAAGGAGCATGAGAACGGTTGCACAACTTGAAGAATGTAATCAATGTCACTGAACTGTACATGTAGAAACTGCTGAACTGGTGGATGTTCTGGTATGCATATTCTCAACAACAACAACAAATAAAATAATTTTTTAAAATTCAAACTTCTGGGAAAGGGGGCTTTTACTCCATGTTTACACTTTCTTACTTTTCACTAATTTCACAATTTATCACAATCCATTTTCACTCTAACTGCTCCGCTGCAACTGTTCTTGCTAAATTCTACCTAAATGTTCAATTGCCAAATCCATAAACAGTTTATTTCTCCTAACATTAAGCACTGTTAACCTCCGTGTCTTTTAAAAACTGTATTTGCTAAAGAAAATGTAGTAAAATGTTAATATCAGGATAATCTGGGTGAAAGATATTTGGGATTTTTGTATTACTGTAATTTTCTCTAAGCCTGTAATTATGTCAAAATTAAATATTAAATTAAAGAGCTCTCTTTTCTTAAATTTCATGACTCTACTCTCTCCTACTTCTCTTCCCACCCCCTAACAAGTGTTCTTGGGTTTGTCTGGTTTAACCATTGTTTTTGAAAGGATGTATCTTCTAATAAAGCTATGAGGTGAAAGATACGATGCAGAAGACAGCAAGGGATTTGAAGTCAGAAGGCCATAAGGTTGAATTTCAATTCTCCCATTTATTATACACCAATCATTCGGTCAATAGCCAGGTAGTGTATTGCCTATTTTGCACAACGCACTTTGCTAAGTTCTGGGGATACAAGTAAGACACAGTCCCCACTAAAATGGATATAATAAAAAAGATAGACAATAACAAGTGTTGCCAATGATGTGGAGAAATTGGAACCCTGATACATTGCTGGTGGGAATGTAAAATTGGACAGCTGCTTTGGAAAACATTTTGGCAGTTCCTAAAAAAAGTTAAACATAGAATTATCATATGACCCACTTCTAGGTAAATACTCAAGAGAAATGAAAACCTATGTCTGCACAAAATCTTGTGCACAAATGTTCATAGCAGCATTATTCAAAATAGCCAAAAAAAGGAAAATGGATGATGAATGGATAAATAAAATGTGATATATACAATGGAATATTATTCAACCATAGAAAGGAATAAAGTAGTGATAGATGCTACAAAATGGATGAACCCTGAAAACACTTGCTAGTAGATTAGTGATTGCCAGGGGATGTGGGTTGGAATGGGGATGGGGAGTGACTGCTACCGTGTATGGTGTTTCTTTTGGGAGTGATGAAAATGTTCTGGAATTAGACAGTGGTGATCAATGCATATTTTTGTGAATATATTAAAAACTACTGAATCGTACACATCACAAGGGTTAACTTCATGGTATGTGAATTATCTCAATAATGCTGTTATTTAAAAAATTAAACACATACACACACAAAATAAGACATGGTCCCTACCCTCAAAGAGCTTCTAGTCTAGTCTATAATGAACAAGTAAGAGAATAAGGATTGTAGAGGGCGGTAGAGGCTATAATCATATTCAGAGTGCGGTGGGAGAACACAGAAAGGATATCTAAAGCAGACAAGAGGTAGGAACTGAATCCTGAAGGGTAAGTAAAAGTAAACTAAATGAAATGGAGAGAGGAGGGTCTAGAAAGAAGATACATCAAACGTAATGGCACAGAAAACAAAAAGCATGGTTCTTCTACAGAATTGTAAATAGAATTAGTGGAGTATGATAAGAGGGGGAAATTCCAAGAGACAAGGCTGGAGGTAGACCAAAGGCCCAATTACAAATAGACTCTGTGCTATGCTAAGTGCTTTAGATGACCTTCAATGTTCTGAGGGAATACTGAAGGTTTCAAACAGGGGAATAACCAAACTGGCTGCAATTTTAAAAAATCACCCTGGTACCAGGTGGCTAATGAATAGAGTGGGTAAAGATTAGAGGACAGGGAGATCTATTAGGAGTTATCTGCAGTAATCCAAATGATATCCTAAATAAAGTACCTAAGTGTCAGTGAAGGCAAGAAATTTAATCCTTCTGAGCTTTAGTTTACTCATTTGTAAAATGCGGTTCCCACCACCAACTTCACAACGTCCTTGTGAGAACTAAATGAAATAAAGTCTGTCAAAAATCTAGCAGAGTGCCAGACACATACTAGGTACTCAATTAACTGCTAGTACTTACCCCACATTAATTTCTACATTATTATTCTCATGATTTAATTTTTTAAATTGAGGTTTTACTATACTTTGACAGCGTAGGTATCCTACTTCTAAGGCTGGAAAGTAGCCTCTGAAGTCTTCTAATCCCAGAAGAGAATATAATAATGATATTAATACTGTGACAAAGTATTCAATCTTCTTTTTTAGTGATAAAAATTAGTATATACAGTAATGTCAAGAAATATGGATGTCAAAAGAAAAACAGGAGAGGACACAAATAACCCAAATAAGAAATGAAATGGGGGACATTACAACAGACCCAACTGAAATTAAAAGGATTCTAACAGAATATTATGAAAAACTATACTCCAACAAATTTGAAAACCTAGAGAAAATGGATAAATTTCTAGAAACACATGGCCTACCCAAACTACAGCAAAGTGATGTTGAAAATCTGAACAGACCCAT